ACGGTTTCGCTCATGACATCATTGAGGTGCTCAAGCTCCAGCGCCACAACAAGGTGGTGATCCTTTGCTGGAAGGTATAAAAATATCCAAAGATATTCTTTGGATATCTTTGGTATAAAAATATCCAAAGAAAAACACAGAGCTTCAAGTTAATTCAGAATCCATAGGCAGAAAACACCATAGTAGTATATTCATAGGCATTCAAAGGAAATAGAACATCTTTTAGAATACGATGACATATTTCAAGCATTTGGGATTAGATGGGGCCTTTGTAAATCTTATTGCAGGTTTTTTAAAAAATCACCACCAAAAGCACTATCTTAGATCAGGTCCCACACAATTGTTATCACATTTAAAGGATTGTAGCCACTGAGCATTGTACTGTTAAGCTTATCAGATGGGCAAAATTGCCAGTCATATGATGCTTCCTTTTCACTTGCGGCACGGAGGCTGCCAGCTCTCATCCTATGGTATAGATCTATTTCCAGCGGGGCTCCATGGTGCAAGTGAAGAGGGAGCATCATAAGCCGCTGTCGTGGCAATGCAGGAGGCTTCCCACGTTGCACAGGCAACAATTGGGGAGAAGCTGGGTGGTGGACACTTCCTCCAATGGGATGTGGTGAGGGGAAAGCCTGATGATGCGGAGCATGGGGCAACATGTTTCCCACGCTCCATGCTGGGCCCTGCCAGATCTGGCCAATCCCAGTCTAAATGTTCTATGACTCTGGTGACTAGTATTTGACTTCTTTCTGAAATCCACTGGGTGACCTTAGCAATTCACACTCACTTAGCTTCAGAGGAAGGAAAAGGCAAATATCTTCTGAAGAAATCCTGTTAAGGAAACCATGTGATAGGTTTGCCTCAGGACTATCATCAGCTGGAAATTACTAGAAGGCACACAACGACACATGAGAAGAAAACTGTGATCACTTCTTCACATATTGCCAGCATTCTCTTAGTGGCATACAAAAGCTCAGCTCCACTATATGCTGATACACACACACACACACATGCAGATACAGATACAATACCAGAATAAAATGAAGTTAAGTCAACATAAAGTGGAGTTAAGCTTTCTGGAAGTTACTATTTTCTTCTATCCCCACAGTGATCAGTCCCCCCACCCAGTCTGGGGGGTGCTATTAAAGCATAATAGTCAGTTTTGGCCATGATGGCAGAAACATTGTAGTTGTGTCTCTCATGCTAAATACCCAGTCATAGGATCAGCCCCAGACTGATGCTGCCCAGGTTCATTAGTTTATGGAATTTATGAAACTGAGATAGTAGTGAAATATAGTGTTTCCTTCCTCTTCTATCATTTTTGCATATAAACGTGCTGAATTACAATGCAAAGAAAAATAATGAAATGAACTACTTTCACCTCATAATTTTTCCCAGCACAGCAAACACAACTTTAATTTCATTTTTAACACACCACCCTTTAGTGCATTTCAGCTTGAATCATCTTGAAACTCTAACAGTTTATGGTGCCACACATATCTCATTTTAATATTCCGTGTGAGTAATAAACTTTCTAACTGAGTTTCTTTTCATCTGAAATTGATATAGAGCCAAAAAAAAGTTTTCTTGAGTAAAAGATTAGAACACAGCAATCTGCATCTGTAGTTAACATTATCAAGGCTCAGCAGGAAGGAGAAATGATAATAGATTGCATTATTTTGTTTAAGGGTTCTTTCTCCCTTAGAGATTCCTATAAAACTGCAGGGTGCCTTTCTTGGCAGGTTTCCAGTCTACTTTTCATCATTTAATATATAAATGTCACTGGAACAGAAGCTTTTGATATTTTGTTGGAGGAAATACCTTCATTTACATTTTTGATTAACAGCTTTATAAATACATGTATATGTACATATATGCAACCACACATATACACATACAGTTGCTGTTGCTGCTTATGCTCATCAATACTTTCTAGCAATGTTGGGACTTTGCATGTTTTCTGCTCTGTAGGGGCAGAAAACTCAATACATATATTTCAACAATTATTCTGCAAAAGAGAACTTTTGAAAAGTTTTGTAAAAGATACCTTGGTTGTATTGACTATGCAGCATTGCTGTTTTAAATGGTCTGGTCCACATAGGAACTTGGGTGGGTGCAGACTGCCCTCATCCAAAATCTTGAGGGCCCTGTTCACACTAGAGAACATGTTGAGCATTCCAAAATACTCCAAAATTATCCATATTGGTGTCTAAGATACTGACACCTTTGCTTTCTAAAGGTTCAATGTACACCAACTTTATCCCATGTTGGGTGTAAAATTACCTTCAGGTGATGTGTATAAGGCGTTGATGAAACATAAATAAATTTGGTGTTTAGCCATGGGTCTCATCTTCACTATATTTCCAATGCAAGAATTTTATAATCCTCACCCCACAAAATCTAAAATACAGAATACTTCTGGTCCCAAGCATTTCGGATAAGGGATATTCAAGCTGTATAAATCATTAATCTGCTATAATTATCATAGGTCCATCCTGTGGAATCCTGGGATTTGCAGTTTAGTGAGAGGCATTTTTGGTTCTCAGCCAGGCACTGCCAGTGCCTCACCATACAACAACCACCAGAATTCCATAGGATTGAACCAGGACAGTAAAAGTGAAACAATTGTTCTTCTGTAGTGTAAATGAACCCTTGGATATCTTTAGCACCTTTCATTTTTGACAGCCGCAAGTATCAACTGAAAGGCTCCTCAGTCTTCCAGGCTGGATCAACACTGCCATATAAAATCCAGATTTTAACTTGATTATTGTATTCTACACTGCCATTTAATCCAGTTCAAACCAGATAATCTGGATTTTATATGGCAGTGTAGATAGGGCCAGAGGCAGACGGAGTGAGATTATCGAAACTTCTTTGGTTTATCTCACTGTTTCCACAGCATAGGTTGAACTTCTGTGTAACCTAGTTTCTTGCTGAATAGATGATTGAATATATACATCTCCTGCAGTTGTGAAAGCACAAGAGTTCTATGAAGATAAAACATGGTTCAAAAGAAAAGGTTTCAATGGCAATTTATTGTCTCATGATTCACTACCCGATTTCCATAAAGAACAATAACATACACTAGAGGCAACTAGAAGATGGCAACCCTTAGAGAGAGTAACATTGCTGATGCCTGCTAAGGCGGGGAAAACAGTAAGGAGGATGAAAGACTGAATGCACATTTAAAGAGGGAAGGGAGACCAACAAGGAAGTTTTGGCTAGGAAGAGAAAGCAGAAAAGAAATGAAAAGTTATGGTCAGCAGGGAAATAAGAGGTTTCTAAACCCGGTAAAGAAGTAGCATGGGAGGATAGCCCACTTAAACCCACGGGAAGCTGAGTGCTTTCATGAATAAACACTAAAGTGTCATGGAATTACCTATCTTTTTCAGAAGGCCCAAAGATGTAACACAGATTTTTTAGACAGATTTTTTTTTTGCTTATCCTCTGAGTGATTTCTTCAAGTATATTGCTTCAGGAGCTTAGTGGTTACTGAAGGATAGCTCATGACTTGTTCTAATGTAATATTCCTCCCTGGTACATCTTTCATCATTTTAAAAGTGTTGTCAATCCAAATTGTATACACATGCGACATTTCTTCCAGCTATTTTTGTTTATTATGCTTGTATCTCCCTCCAGCACTTAAGAAGAGAAGCTTGTCCCTGAAGCAACTCTCTGAATAGTTTGAGAGAGATTTAGTTATGCAGTGATTTTCATAGCCGAATAGCCTTTTGAACCTGGGATCTTCACATTCAAAAATAACACTCTAGCTAGACATTAACCCCCTTTGTTCTGTGCTTATTTATAAACCATGTAGAATGATGTAGTCATCTCTTCATCAGTTAGTGTGAAGCCTCTCATCCTAAAGGCATGGATGTGAAGGAAGTAAGCGACTTCAGGGTTTTTAAAAATTAAGTTCACCAAAGTTTACTATATGCATAGTAATAGCATTATGGAGTGCACTAAAATCACAGTTATCATTCTCTTCAGGGTAAAAGTCTCAAATTATTATGCTGAAAACATTCTTCATTTTGCTACTGCTATCTCTAAAATACATTTTACAGTTAACTCCTCCATAATAGGAAGTTGTACTTGGGTTACTTGTTATTGATAAGCTGTATGATAGTAACAGAATAGATTAAATTTAATGTATCTATCTTGTATAGAAGGGAGGGGTATGGCTTATTATTTACTTAAAATAAGTATACAATCGTTTCTTTAACTAGTATACTGACACTTCACCATTAATACCACTGTTATAACTGTTATAAATAGTCATATCTAATTTGCTTGTTAACATCACCAAAATCTGTTTTTCCCTCCTTTTTCCTCAGGGACACCTTGATAGTAACTTGCACCAACAGTGCCACGAGTATATTTGCAGGCTTTGTCATTTTTTCAGTTATTGGATTCATGGCAAATGAGCTCAAAGTTGACATTGAAGATGTTGCAGACCAAGGTATAGTTGTTTGTTTTTGTACAACTCTAGTTAATTGGTTTTTCAATACTGAATAATGTTTGTTTGATCTCTGTGCAAGTCAACTTGTAGCTACACAAGTTGGACCCTTTTGTAAGTTAAGGGCCAAAATGGTACCACTTCTAGGTACTAATAGATAAACTCTAATCACCACCCTTAAAAAAGTATCATATACTTTCAGATCGTCTTCTCCTTTTTATGAGTGTACAATTACAGGTTGAGAGTCATCATATGTTTCCCAACTTGGTAATACTTAACACATCATTATTGTGGATCTTCGGATGAATTATATCAATAAAAATAGATAAGTGCATTATCCATATTCTCTTTGAGTCATGTCTCATGGGGCTGCTTAGAGCAGCTGGAACTAAGCTGTTTGGGTAAACCATTCTGCTTGTATTATCTTATTTTGAAGGAACATAGCTTTGTCATGCATCTGGATAGCTACAATAAATTCTCAGACAATCTGAATCATTTTTATTCAGCTTTGCATTGTTTCTTTGCCATAGTCTTTCTCTCTGCTATATACCAACCACTGTAAAAATTTAAATTATAATCATCATGAACAAAATGCTCATCTTTGGCTTACATTACTTTGTAGAACACTGCGTATTTTGACAGGAATATATAAATATTGAGTGGTGCTGTCATCCTGGCTTTGTTTGAGGCCTGGAGAGATGAATGCAGTAGAGTTCACAGCTTGCTGACTGTTCAAAGTAATGTAGAGAAAGCTGAGTCACATCAGAAAAAGCAGAATATGCTCTCAAAAGGAGAGTTAGGACAGGGCTGTCATCACTATGGGAAATGCTAGTTGGAGCATAATCTTAACAACCAGAGTTGTAGACATGCCATCTCCATCTGGTGATAGGAGCATTATGTTCTCAGGTCAAAAATGTCAGGAGATGGACACCAAGGGCTCTCCTAAAGTAAGCTGATCAAAGACCCATATGAACTTGGGTTTTCCTGGATTGTTAGTGAATCTCAGAAACAGTGGACAGGATAGCAATGATGTCTAGTAGTACTAGTAGTAAAGGAAAACCTAAAAATAAATTATAGCTGAGTCTTCCTAAGTTATGTTCTGAATCTGGAAAAAGGAACAGTATGGCTAGAATCCACATTATTACTACTCAAATCTATTTAATGTTGCTCGAAGTTAACACTGATGGCAATCTTATCATAAGATTTCATTGGCAAGATTTATTCACAAAGATTTGTCATTGCCTTACTCTGTGGATAAAAGTGTGTGATTTGCCAAAGTTGGCTCAATAAGGATTCAGTTCTGGTCTCCAAGAGTCCTGGTCCAACACTCATGGCAACATGCTGGCTTGCCAGTTGAATCCCTCTTATTAAATACCTTTTTCATTGTTTTCTTTATTTTATAATGGTAAAAAGGAGTGATAGAAGCACCAAAGAAGAGCTAACACATCTCTGTGCAAAGGAAAGCACATAATCTTTGAGAGCATTTTATTTTTGAGATTTCAGAAAGGGGGGTCAAAGGAAAAGAATCCAGAAATTGTCATATGGAGAATTATGCCTTTCCAAATCCATCTCAGGACCGTGAGGTGCTTGCTTTCAAATATTTGCTGTGGTATTATCTGAATGTCCTAGGTCTAGTGATGGATCTTATATGTCATAAACAACATGATCCTCTCATATCTGAACACGCAACTGAAACACTGTGTGTTCAGTTTAAAATGGAACATTTGAAGAGTGTGGGAGATTTGCAAGTACCTTTGGTTCCTCTGTGCTTCTTGTCTCACAAATCAAAACTACAAAAGGCATGGACTGCAGCCTGAATAAAGTCCAGTTAAAGGGCCTAAAATCTGATTGTCACAGCAGCCATTTTTTCCTGGAAATTCAGGTGTGGAATAGCAGTTTGCACATCTGATAATAAATGTATAGATTCCATAATTTTAAGTAGAATTATACGTTCTTTTTTCAACATAAGCCATATAGCACCATGAGACATTCTATTCAGTAACTGAATAAAGTATTATGTAGTCTTATTTATTTTAATTATATGATGTTTGTAATCATTTATAACAAATACAGTTCTGTTCCTTCCCCACTGCATGGAACCATTCTTTATCTCCTCCGGTGCAACAACTTAGACTATTGGAATAGATGCACACTGTATTTCATAGTAGTCACAACCCCTCTTTTGAGTCCCAAAATTTTTTTCTTGCTTTTTCTCATGTAAAATCATCACATTAATCATTTCTCCTCCCTTGGAAAAAAACTTTTTCCCAATGGCCAGTACATTTGAGACATAAAGAAAATGCACATTTAAAGCAAGCTATTAAGTAACCTCTCTCAGAGGTAAGAGAGTTTGTAAAAAAGGAAACAAACTGAAGCTTGTTGGATCTCCCTGCTTTTCCCTCCCACGTGTCTAAAATGTTCAGAAGTCCCAGCTTCCCTTATTTCTGTTGCAACACACTGTTCCTGTTCTTTAAACATGAAAGGTGTTAGCTTGATAATACCTCTTCAGCTTCCCATAAAACACTTTTGGAAAAACATACTGCCAATTGTTGCAGGGGAAGCAGCCATTTCAGGGCAGGCATTTGTTTTCCTGACTGATGTGACCTCTGTTGCTTGTTTTACAATCTAAACAATGCAAGTCATTCATTTTCACAGACTGGAAGAATGGAATTATCCACTTTAGACAAACACCCCATGTTTGTCTGCCATTTCTGACAGTTTTGTTCGGTGGAGAAATGTGGTCTCTTTTTCATCAAATGGACTAACATTCTGTCCAGTTATTGACAGAATATACCTAGCAAAATAACAGCTACGCATACCTAGCAAAATAACAGCTACACATGCAAAACTGAGACACATTGTCATTTGCCAAGGTACAAGAATTGCAGAAGAAATCCTACATTTGTCAGATAACATGAAAGACAGGGCCACAAAATGACTTTTCAGGAACCTAGGGGATGGAGAGAGCTAGTAGGGTGCAGTGGTTTGTGTATTGGACAAGAAACCAAGAGACCAAGGATCAAATCCCCACTAAGCCATGTAAATCCACTGGATGAGTTTGGTCAAATCACATTCTCTTAGGCCCCATCAAAACTGCCATATAATCCAGTTTTTGAATTCAGATTATCTGCTTTGAGCTGGATTATATGGCAGCGTAGATCCAGCCTTCATTTCAGAAGACAGCAAAGACTAATCTTTGAACAAATCTTGCCAAGAAAGCCTCATTAGAGGTTCATGTCACCAAATCAGGAATAACTTGAAGGCACATGACAACAAAACAGTGGATGAAGGAAATAGAAAGAACAGTACTATGGGTATATTGCTAAATATTCCCTTGTTCTGGCTGAACTGCTGATCTGAAGACCTGAAGGTTGGTGGTTTGAATCTGTGAGACAGGTTGGGCTTCCATCTGTCATCCCCAGCTTCCCATGCAGGGACATGAGAGAAGCCTCCCACAGGATGGTAACACATATGGGCATCCCTTGGATAACATCCTTGCAGATGGCAAATTCTCTCACACCAGAAGCGACTTGCAGTATATTCTCAATTTGCTTCTGACATGATAACAAAGTGTCTATCTCTTTAATGCGGGCAAAAGCAAAGACTGCAGAACCAAATGACTTCAGCAGTTGGTAGAATGTATAGCCTGTATACTCATGTATAAGTTTAGAAATTAAAGTAAAAAAATCAACACAAAAAACCTGGCTTGACTTATCCATGCATCCATAGCTTATCCATAGCTAAACTCTTATCTGAGTAGAATGGGAAAGGGAAGAGAAAGATTATTTCAATCCTAGGAGAACCTAAAAGAAGCACTGACCCTTTCTAGACCCTCTGTTTCTGGTTTTTTTAAAAAGCCTGGGCAGGGAAATGGCAGCAGTGATGGTCAAGGCAGGTGGCCCCCTGATGCAGCATTAGTGTTTTCCTTCTCTGTGAAATGATCCTTGACTCCATAGGTCATTTCAAAATCCATAATATTGGCCCTCAAACCCTGACTTACATTACAGGTCAACTTATACATGACTATATGTGTTATTTTGAGACATACCACAATAAAAGTGAAAAGTACAAAATGTGAGATAATTGGAAGTAGTAATGGAAGTAGTTATATTCTGTTTTGTAGTAGTCATATAATGAATGGGCCCATTGCTTAAATGTTGACTGATTCTGAGAAAAGGAAAAATGTTTGTTTTACGCAAAAAGGTTATAGACATACAGTAGTTGGTCAAATATATATCCTACTCTTGCTGGTCATAACTCTCACTTGCCCATGAGATTAATTTAGAGAATCCCAATCAAGGGAGATTTGCAATTTCATTTTCTTCAATTAAATTTTCCCAGAGGGTATGATGAATACTAGGAACTCATTATTTTGATTCCTTAATTTAATTTTCAGATGCGAAATGCTAGAGCAAACAACCTTCTTATCTACAGCAGTCAAGAAGAAATCTTTAATCAAGAGATGAAAGAGCATGCTCATGAATATATAAGGTCCCCTAAGCCTTTTTGCCCAGAAAAACTGCCAGTTAACAGCAGGTTTTAAAGCGAGCTGCTTGCAAGGCATCACAGCAATAAAAATATTTTTCCACCAGCAATACTTTTAATGTTTGTCAAGGATATCCCAAACATTTTGTAAAGTGCATATTAAAATTAGCAATTTTTGCTGCTGAAATGGAGCAGCCCTGCATCAATCAAAACTAGTGGTGGTGGTAGGTAGACATCTATGTGTGGTAAGTATAACATAAAGGGATAGTGAAGAAGACTTCACTATCAGAAAGTCATTGTTTTCTCTATGTCTGGACCTTGAAACATGGGAAAATGTGAGGAATCTCTACTGAAATGACTTTGAGAAATTGGACTGCCAGGATTGCTCTATATTTTTCTCCTCAGGAATTATTAATCAACAGTGTACTAAATGGCCAAGCACTAAGAAACATCAAGATAATTATTGTCCTTGAGCCCTCTCAGATAAAGCAAAGACTACCTGCAATCTAACTTGCACACATCTACTTAGGAGTAAGTTTCTATGAACACATGGAGGACACTTCTAATTCAGTGTACATATAAGAGCCTTCATATTTAAGGATGTTTTGATGATAATAGATTGAAGGTGAAATTTGCCCTCCCCCTGAAAATATGTAAGTAAGCAACATTCACAACATCCTGTGAAACCAGGCATGTAGCCGGGGGGGGGGGGGCTTGAGGGGCTTCAGACCTTACTGGTGCATTATTTAAACTGCTATGTTTATTCATATCATGATCTGATCACTATACTAAATATATCCCATATGCATGGGGGTATTGGGGTAACAATTCAAAAGGTTTGCTAGGGTAGACCCTCTTTCACTCAGACTCAGCCCCCCCTGAAACAAACTCAGCCCCCCCTCCCCGAATCAAAATTCTGGCTACGGGCCTGTGTGAAACAATGTAAAAATAATTCCAGGGCCCATGCATCTATACATATTTTGGAATGAAGTGGGTGTACTATTGCCCTTTGGTTGCATGCAAACTCCCTTTTGAAGCCTCAAATGTACTAAACTGTCCTTTCGCTGGCCAAAGAAAAGGGACTTTTCACAATTAACAATTATAGGGCTAAGATTCCATTTTAATTACCATGATTATATCCCATGGAATTCTGGAATTGTAAGTGTAGGGACAGGTATTCAGAATTCTTAGGCAGAGAGCTCCTCTAGTGCCTCACCAAAATGCACACAGGGTTTCATAGGATGTGGTCATGGCATTTAAAGTGGAAACATAATTGTGTAGTGTAAAAAGCCCTAAAGATTGTCTGTTCACTTTTCAATAAGTTGCAATCTTCTCCTGCTATCTTTAAATCATAGCATTGGGAGAACCACATGAGCCATCCAGTTCAATCCCCTGGTTTAGAATAGTATGAAATAGTGAGGTTCCTAAGAGGCATCAGAGCATAATGAAAATACTTTCAAAATGTTTCTGTCTCTCTCTCATTCTTTTATTGTAATATATTTTAATCCAAATGCCATTTGGTATCCCTTTACAGTTTTTATCGCCCACTCTCTCTTTGAGCGTTATCTCTTAAAGAAAAAGAGTAAAGAGTTATCTCTTAAAGAGCTTTAGCACTGCAACACCATCACATATTCAGTGACCATTTGATGAAGTAATGAACTTGGAAAGCAGGATGCAGAAACTAGTTTACAAAATAATTCAAATTTATTTGGTATTATAAACCAACATAACAATATCTGTTTCTTGTGTTCTTACTTTCAGGTCCTGGAATTGCCTTTGTAGTATATCCTGAAGCCTTAACTCGGCTTCCTCTTTCTCCATTCTGGGCTATTATTTTCTTCTTGATGCTCCTAACACTTGGCTTGGACACCATGGTAAATTTGGGCTTTTCATCTACTTTCCTGTAGTTCATTAGAGGACATGATGCATAATATTATGTTTATGTTGAGTAATATGGGGTTACATCTTCAAGACAGGGATGTTTTTGTTAAAGGATGGACTTTTCTTTAAGTTGAAGAGTGAACAAGAAAATCTTCAAAGAGCCTGCATACTAAAGCTTCTGTTTTCTGGTTTTAAGAAAAGGATTAGAAATGCTATGTATTTTATTACATTTACTTTTTTTTAACTTGTTCTCTTCTCTGACATTCCCAGTTTGCCACTATTGAGACAATAGTGACATCAGTTGCAGACGAGTTTCCAAAGTACTTACGTACCCACAAGCCTCTGTTCACTCTTGGATGCTGTGTTTCCTTTTTCATCATGGGCTTTCCTATGATCACTCAGGTAAAAGCATTTTCTTGACATAGACAAATTATGTGCTATGTATTCTTCCAGTGGAAAAAGACTGATGCTACAGTTAATAATAATAGCTCCACGAAACTATTCTCTTTGAAAAGAAAATGTATAGCTCAAGTGAACTTTTAAAATAGGTTTTCATAGCAGTCCTAACCTCCAGATCTACTTGCTGTTAGGGTTACCATAGGACACAGATGGCATTCTGCCACTAGGGGGACCATGTCCTCCATGAAGGTTCCAGTTACACTATGTTACTGGTGACAAGAGTTGTGTATATATAAATCTACTGGTGTCAGTCATCCTTGAAAAACAGAGCGTTCTGCTAGTGGTAGCAGAATTGGCTGTGAAGTTCCTCCACTTTTCCAAGAGATTGGATTTGTTCCCCTCAGTTATGCCACTTTGGGAAGCAGCAATAACCCAAATCTGTGCAACATCTGAACCTGTTAGCCAGGCTTATCAGATAGAAAAGCTCCAAATAGCTTTGTGGATTTCTGTCAGTAATTACATATTTTATTTTTAGGGTGGAATGTACATGTTGCAGCTTGTGGACACCTATGCAGCTTCTTACTCTCTGGTTATAATAGCCATTTTTGAACTTGTTGGCATTTCATACATTTATGGTAAGAAAAACATAAGTGATGTGTCCATCACACAAATGTTGCATGGTCGATAAGTGATCAATTGATATGAAAATGGGATAAATAAAATACAGAGATGTTTTTCTTTATTAGAAACTAAGGGCATCATCATCATTTCAAAATAAGCATTAAAGAGCACATACAAGCAATTATTTTGAATTCCACTTGAAAAGCCTAGCTCCGCTCATATCACCACAGCTGGGAAGGTTACATGATTAAGTCATTTGCAATAGATAGCAGTGAATTATAATTAATGTGAATGTAGAATTAATAGCAATGGGAAATGTACAAGTAATGATGAAGCATATTAACTGGCATAAATTTGTGCAGTCAGGCTTTCAGGAAGCAAGCTTCAAGTTCTGAAAATGGCTTAAATTTATTTTATTTTAAGAATGATTGCACAGCCATGTCCTTGCAATTGTAACAATTTCATTTAGAAACAATATGAATATGTATACAATACAGTCCATTACAACCAATGGGTGGGGTCTTCCAGCAGGACTTTTCTTCACCAATATTATTAATTCCAGACTAATGAACTTTGTGCTGCTCCTGCACACATGGAAGATATGGCAGATAGAAATGAGAACTTTTTAAACACCCAGCCTTTGAACTTTCCTAATGCTGCTTCATACAAGTATGTTCAGAATGCAGCATTCTCACCTAACAACTACCCAATTTCTCTTCCACTGGCAAATTTGATAAGAGTATTTGGGTTGTCATAACCCAAACATTTGCCTTGTAATTAAGACATTGCAGCTAAGTACAGTTCCGTTTTGTCCAATATCTTCAGATAAAGTAAGATTTGCGATGTCTTGATCAGGATAAATCATAAATCCACTGATTGGCTAGATTAACTAGAAAACAAGTTTATTAAACTTTTATAATCACAAATAATTTCTGGAAATATACTTTTTATTGAAACCTATAATATTAAATGAAACACAATTGGTCTGTCCAAATCCAGTTGTTTCTTTCAGCTAGAGAAGAGCCATTTAATCAATGGGAACATGGTACATAAATATTTATTAAGTTTCATTTGGTCTATTCCTGTGGAAAACAATGTCTTGATTTATGTCTTAAGACTTTTAAACTGATCAGGACCATGTGAGAATGATGTCTACCCCAAAACCACAGAGTAGAAAGTTTTGGAAATGTACACAGAGATCAGGATATTTACCATCTCTCAAAAAATAGAAACACCTCTATCTTGATCCCTATCTTAAGCCTTGTGAGGAGCGGGTTAAAGAGCTGGGCATATTTAGCCTGCAGAAGAGAAGGCTGAGAGGAGACATGATGGCCATGTATAAATATGTGAGAGGAAGTCATAGGGAGGAGGAAGCAAGCTTGTTTTCTAATGTCCTGGAGACTAGGATGCAGAACAATGACTTTAAACTACAGGAAAGGAGATACCACCTGAACATGAGGAAGAACTTTCTAACTGTAAACTCTCAGTGGAACTCTGAGAGTTCACAGTGAAACTCTCTGCCACTGAGTGTGGTGGAGGCTCCTTCTTTGGAGGCTTTAAAAAAGAGAGACTGGTGGCCATCTGTCAGGGGTGCTTTGCGATTTTCCAGTCCAGGCGGTTGGACTGGATGGCCCCATGAGGTCTCTTCCAAGTCTATGATTCTATGATCCACAGTTTTCCCCAGAGATACTGTTTAGTAACACGGAGACTATGAATGTTTAATCATAAATAAATAAATAAATAATAAAACTTTATTTATATCCTGCCACTATCTCCTAGAAGGGACTCAGGCAGCTTACAAAAACACTTAGTAGTGCAACAAAATACACAAAATACAATAAAGTACATGAGCATATAATTAGCCTTCTGGAAAATGGATACTCTGAGACTGGGATTTCAAAACAGATCCTGTTGCCACTTCTCCCCTACTTCTTTTCATCAACTCAAAAAGCATTTGAAAATATGCATGTATCATTCCATTCAACCATACTCTAACTCTTCAATAAACCTTCTTTTATATGTCTAGGCATGTCCTCTCAATAAATTAAATGGAATTGATTGCAATTAAACTTGACCTAGGTGGGTAAACCTTGGCATCGTTTACATGATAGGGTTCTCATTATCTTTTTTAAAAGCTGTGTTGGATCACTCAAAAATACACAGCATATTGTTTCTGATAGCTGATATAACTACTAGGCATGGAAGAGCTTCCTTTATTTGAGCACTTGTAGTTTCCTCCCTTTCTCAAGAGTTCTTAGCATGGATTCTGTTACACTGAGTTGCTCACTGAGTTGTTTTTTGTGGCTAATTCTCAGAACACTTTGGTGCTTAGTCATTGCCAGTTCAGTTAGAACCTGTTGTCCCAATGTGCAAAACTATTCCCCAAAATTTACACTTGCTTTTGCTGAGGTATCATTTGCAGTTTCCTTGCCTCTTCATCCCACTCTGGATAGACACTTTTACCTTTTCACTAGCTTTGGAAATTTTAACAGACTTGAATAGTTTTGGGTAGGTTATGACATATAGTGCTCTGTGAGTAGTGATACTGTGCTGCCTTTACATCCTCAGGTTTAACTGAGTTATGGCCATCTGAAACATAGCTGTTAGTTAACAAGTGTCCAAGTGGGGAGGTGGGAAGGCAAGCTAGCAACGGAGCCAGGATATAGAAAGACACTGTCTGAGGGCAGTGCAGTCAATTTCAGATCAGTCATTCTGACTGGGTATCCAAATTCCTGACAATAGCTTTATAGGTCCATGCCAAATACTGCAAATTGCAGCTTTTTGCGCTTCACAGTGATTGTGCTGAAGAATAACACAAAGCAGGGCCCTGTTCACACTACTGAATTATAGCACAGATGGCAAAATTCAGTGCCACATTAACATACAAATATACACATTGAGCAATAAAACAGAAAAAAAAAACATATAAATACAATTAAAACAGATTAAAATATCATACCTAGACCTATAGTCATCATAGCGCTACTACATTTGTGTCTCATTCCACATTGCACTATTCCCCAAACACCTGGGTCCATTAACAGGTCTTTAACTTTTTCCTGAATACCAGGAGGGGGGGGGCAGTCTAATGCCATGAGGCAGAGAATTCCAAAGCTGAGGGGCCACCACTGAGAAGGCCCTGTCTGTTGTACCCACCAATTGTGCCTGTGAGGGGGATGGGATCGAGAGCAGGGCCTCCCTGGCAGATCTTAACGCTCTAATCGTTTCATAGGGAGAGATATGTTTGGACAGGTAAGTTGGGCCAGAACCATTGCTTGCCTTTCCCCATACTTTGTTGGTTCACACCAACCAAATTTTCAGAACCCTGACACCTCTTCACATCTTAAAAAGGAGAATAAAATGAAGGCATGGTTGACTTTTTGAGGCAATACTGCATTTGCCCCTTAACCCCCGAAATAACGAGACAGACACAAATGACTGGATTCAAATTGGGCAACTTTTATTGAATGTTACCTATTTAACTTTACCTGAACTAAACTAAGTGTCAAGGAACTTGGTGGCAAGCTGAGGCAGCGTCCCCAGCTACTTAGTGTGTGATGTCTGTGTGCCCTGGATCCCCAACCGGGCAACCTGAAGGTAAAATCTGGAGAAGCCTGTATTCGATTCTTGATATCAGCTCCTCTCTTTTACTGGGCCAATTGATGTCCCCTCACCCAATTGTTGACTTCTAGGTGAGTGTTTGTTGTACCGTGCCCCCCACCCTTAATGGGTGCCATGTGTATACCTCCATGTCAGTGTTCTTCCTGAACTATTTATGCTGGCCTAATTAAACCAAACCACTCCATCTAGCCCCTAATAACAGTATAGGGTAGGCGAAAAAACCCCCCAGAACATGAGAGGCAAAAAATTCCTACCCGGCTCCAACGGGCAACCAAATATACTGTCAATGGGCGGGAGTGGCGGGCGAAAGGTCTAACAAGACTGAGGGGCAGAGGCTGGCTCACGTGGTTAGCCAGCCCCCGCCCCTTTTTCCAGGAGGTTCTAAATGGAACCTCCCATTCTCTTTCTTCGGGGGGTGGGGCAAATCGCTCTCCCCACCAACTTCGTTGGTGTGGAGAGTCCCTTGCCCCTTAACCCCCGAAATAACGAGACAGACACAAATGACTGGATTCAAATTGGGCAACTTTTATTGAATGTTACCTATTTAACTTTACCTGAACTAAACTAAGTGTCAAGGAACTTGGTGGCAAGCTGAGGCAGCGTCCCCAGCTACTAAATGTGTGATGTCTGTGTGCCCTGGATCCCCAACCGGGCAACCTGAAGGTAAAATCTGGAGAAGCCTGTATTCGATTCTTGATATCAGCTCCTCTCTTTACTGGGCCAATTGATGTCCCCTCACCCATTTGTTGACTTCTAGGTGAGTGTTTGTTGTACCGTGCCCCCCACCCTTAATGGGTGCCATGTGTATACCTCCATGTCAGTGTTCTTCCTGAACTATTTATGCCACAGATTGGGGGCAAATGTCTATTTCGCCCCCATCCCCCACCAAGCCCCTTAAAACTTCCTGAATGCCTGACTGTAAGTCAGCTAAAAACTGTGCGTTGCCCAAATCAGTTAAATGAATGCCATCAAAACGGTAAAACTGTGTTTTATCATGCGTGATGTCCTTGTGTGGAATGTAAGACCCTCTTCCCCGTGCTAACGCCGTGCGCATGGCCCGGTTCACACGCTTTCTGGCCTTCTCGAGCTTCCTGACGTCACCACCTCCTGGCCACCGAAGGCGTGGAATGATGGCCGACCAAGCGATGTGAACCCGGGGCCATGCCTGCCAGATCTTCAAAATGTCAGCACGTGCTTGTAGATACAAGGCCCTGCCGTTAAGCAGGCCAAGGTCATTACCTCCAATATGGAGCACCAAAACATCAGGAGTGGGCCTGCTCCTGTCCTGGAACAACAAGGGAACTAAACCGTCCCAACGAAGGCCCCGAACACCCTTCCACTCGACCAATGCAGTGGAAGCGCAACCCAGATGCTGGCCAAAGGACGAGTTCCT